CACTCCGATCCAGTCACATGATTTGCCCTGTGTCAGTCAGTGCTGGCTACAGGGGACAGGGGAGAGCACTCTGACAATGGCTGGAGTGTCTGAGCAGTGATGCCACCCTTAGGCTTGTTATATCCTGGATTTATGCCTTTGGGCTGGTTCACACTATAGAAATGCAGTTTGAATGTGTGTCTATATGTACATTTCTTACTCATTTTTGAAGTGTTCCAGAGCATTTTGATGCGTTCGGGTTAATTTTTCCCCCTCTCTTTTTCAACCTAAATAAGAACATGTCCATTCCAATGCATTTTACTGCATAACAGTACCGTTCAGTGCAGAAAAAAATCCAGCTTTTTTTCTGGAACTGGAATGTACTAGAACTGACCTAACTGGTGTGAACTATGCCATTGGAAAACATGTAACCTACTATCAATGAATTTTTGATGCAGCAAAAAAAAAACACACTGGGCTGCATGTGGTGTGAACTAAGCTCTTTAACCACTTGCCAACCAAATGATGGCTACAGTGTGGTTGTCCAGTTCTGGGAGGGTATCATATGACGTCCTCCCAGAACGCGCCTTCCCCCACGCCCCCAGCGCTGCACACCCAGTGATCTCCATGATCACTGTGTCCTATGGATGAGATAAAAGACCAATCACAGCGGCCTTTTACCACGTGATCAGCTGTGTCCAATATAAGTGCAGCGCTACAAACAATATTCAAATGACAAAAGGTGTAAACGATTGCCAGATGTAGGAATGTTGAAGATGATAAACAGTTCAGTGCAGGGGGAATCACAGGGCATATAGGTGTAATCCAATCCCAGGAATAGATAAATTGCCTGCTTACCAGAAGCGCAATTTGAATGCGCATGTACAAATTGCATGTAGCCGGAATCCCATGTAGGCGCTGCTTTCTAGTACCCAGATGGTCCGTCGGTGGTGGGACGATGCTGGCCTGGTCGGAACACACTGCACCTTGGATCCACACAGAGAGCCTAAAAATTGCTGGGGCTGAGGTATGGGAACTCAGTACCAGGTGCAAGGAGTAAAAATACTCATAGTGTAGTATGTTTTAAAATTATTTATTCAAAACGTAAAGCCATATAAATTTACAAAAAACGTATGCCTGCAGCCTGTAGCCAGTAAATGCAGCTTCAAAAAAGATGATCCTATACACTGACCAGTATAAACCATGGGTGGGCCGCCGGATCCCCTGACCCGGCGGCGTAACGTCAAGGCGTGCAAAGGCTCCTCTCGAATGCAAAGGCGCATTCAAAGTGTTAGAGAGCTGAAAGCTGAAAATTGGCCTGGGCACGAAGGCGGTAAAAGTGCCCATTAGGCAAGTGGTTAATCTACCCTTCCCCCTCCCGTTCTAAAGACATATAATAAAACCTTTCCATTTTCATTGCATCCTTTTTTTTGACCCAGTGGTGTCATTCCTAGGTCACCATTCTTTTTTCTATGTGGTTCAACAGATCATGGCTGGTGATGGGGGCCAGTAGGGTGCTGTACATGGCTTCCTGAAAACAAAACAACATGTAGGGTGTCTTGGGTAAAGTGCATATGTGATTCTGAAATCCAGTGAATGAAAGAAGGCAGGAAAAGGATAGATGATGCTGTGCATCCTCCAGCCAAGAAAGAACGTGGGCTTCAACTGACTTCTCATGTCCACTATAAGAAGCTCTATGAAATCAGATTATGCAAGCTCAATACAGAAGAGGAGCCTGCATAACTGTAAGACTGCTAAGGTTAGTGTTCAGCTTTAAATGTAACCAAAGGAAGCCTACAAGTTTATTTTACTTCATCTACTAAGTTCACTAAATAAAAGTATGTAGCTATTTACTTGAAGTATTTTGTTGATTTACAGTGTCTTGGCATGCCCAGCTGATTATTTCAAAATGGCAGCTTTAAAGCATGGAAATGTCAATTATGAAGCACAAAAGAATAGCAAAACATGACCAAAGCATGATTATTGAATGAAATGACAAACATCTCACATCTGCTTGTAATTTTGCTTGCAGTTCAATACAGGCTGTTTTTAGTTACAACAGCCAACTGCAGGCAGCTAACTATTTACAGTAAATATCATTATTACCTGTGTATCACTATCAGAATTTGACAGCAAGGATGAGCTGGTCGTACGTACAACCAGATCCCAAATTTTTGGGACATTTGGTGGAATTTGATCTGCTGAACATCCCATAATTCATTGCCAAAACCTCTGTTCAAATATAAGAATTTGGCTAGTGATGGTTTTGACTTCCACAAACCATAAAAGGCTATTTTTCCAACAGCCCTTTGTTGGTGTGTTGGTAGTTAAGTGAGGGACTGCTGGCATGGCTTTTAGTAAGAGAGAGAGTTGGTTAGTGCAGTGCAGGGTTTGTGCTTTATTCAGTTCTCCAAGTACTATATTTTGTGCTTGTACATTTCTTATAGATACTTTGCAGTGATTTGCTAGTTGTCCTAAGGAGAGTAAATTGTAAACACATCTGCATTCACTGTGATTTTCTAAGACTTGACAGTCCTTTTTAGGACTATTTTTAGTATATGTGTAGGCAGCAGGTTCTGTTGCTGTATTTGCAGGTGGTTGTTTGGGTTTTTTTTTTTTTAAATTCTCTTGTGTTAGAGCTTTAATTTATTTTGTTAGGGCTTTTTAAAGATTTACAGTGTTTTTTTACAGGGTCAGCAGTAGCATGTTGCCTTATGAGGGGTTTATGCATAATCTCCATTAGCAACTGTAAATAGATAGTTGAATAACTATATTCTAAACAAGTTAAATATTGGTCTATTATAGGTTTACTGTACTCACACACACATATATATATATTGCCAAAAGTATTGGGACGCCTGCCTTTACACATATGAACTTTAATGGCATCCCAGTCTTAGTCGGTAGGGTTCAATATTGAGTTGGCCCACCCTATAACAGCTTCAACTCTTCTGGGAAAACTGTCCACAAGGTTTAGGAGTGAGTCTATGGGAATTTTGACCATTCTTCCAGAAGTGCATTTGTGAGGTCAGGCACTGATGTCGGATGGGAAAGCCTGGCTTGCAGTCTCTGCTCTATATCATTCCAAAGGTGTTCTATTAGGTTGAGGTCTGGACTCTGTGCAGGCCAGTCAAGTTCCTCCACCCCAAGCTCGCTCATCCATGTCTTTATGGACCTTGCTTTGTGCACTGGTGCGCAGTCTTGTTGGAACAGGAAGGGGCCATCCCCAAACTGTTGGGAGCATGAAATTGTCCAAAATGTCTTGGTATGTGGATGCCTTAACCACTTGAGCACCTGAGGATTTACCCCCCTTAATGACCAGGCCGCTTTTTGCTACTCGGCGCTGCACTAATTCAACTGATAATTGTGCGGTCATGCAATGCTGCACCCAAACGAAATTTACGTCCTTTTTTTCACACAAATTGAGCTTTCTTTCGGTGTAATTTGATCACCTGTGCGCTTTTTATTTTTCACGCTATAAACAAAAAAAGGCGAAAAATTTTGAAGAAAAACAATATTTTTTACTTTCAGCTATAAAAAATATATAGTAAACTCAAAGTTGGTTATAAATTTAGGCCAAAATGTATTCTGCTCCATGTTTTTGGTAAAAAAAATTCCAATAAGTGTATATTGATTGCTTTGTGTGGAAGTTATAGCGTCTACAAACTATGGTATAAATACTGCAATTTACGCCATTTTTCTGCTATAAAGCGCTGCGCTAGTTTAATGGACAATTGCGCTGTCATGCAATACGGTACATAAATGAAATTTACATCCTTTTTTTCCCCACAAATTGAGCTTTCTTTCAGTGGCATTTAATCATCTGTGCGGTTTTTATTTTTTGCGTTATAAAAAAAAAGGCTGACAATTTTGAGGAAAAAAAAAAAAATATTTTGGACTTTTTGCTATAAAACATGTCCAGTAAATTAATTGGTTTACGTGAAAGTTATAGCGTTTACAAATGGCGGGAAAGATACTGGAATTTTACATTTTTATTTATACTAATAATGGCGCCGATCAGCGACTTTTGGCGGCAATCAGTGACATATGGCGGCGACCAGCGACTTATGGCAGGACTGCGGGACAGCGGTGGACATTTTGACACATTTTTGGGGGGAACTGACTTGGGGTCACTGACATCCCCAGTGACACCAATACAGTGATCAGTGAAAAAAACCCACTGAAACTGTACTAATGTCACTGGGGAGGAAGGGGTTAACATTTTTAGAATTTGCAGTGTAAGGGGAGTGTTTTACTAGGGGGCGGGGGTGTGTACTGGATGGGGGGAGGGAGGGGGGAGCTGATCGAGGTAGAGAAACTCTGCAGCTTCTCACAAGCTGTCAGAGAACTGACACAGAACAGGGCTTTGTGTAAACAATGCAGCCCTGCTCTGTGTTAGCGATCACCGGCAATCGCGGGAAAACGACCGGTAAAAACCGTCCGTGACCTGTCGGCTGACACCCGCTGCTGACACCCGCGGGACAGGTAGGGCGGGCGCGCGCCCCCTACCTGTTTTGAAGGCAGCCATTTTAAAACGTGCTTTTGCCTACGAGCGCCGCCCTGCCACCCTTTATATGCGGTGGCTGGGCGGCAAGTGGTTAAGAGTTTCCTTCACTGGAACTAAGGGACCAAGCCCAACCCCTGAAAAACAACCCCACGCCATAATCCCCCCTCCACCAAACTTTACACTTGGCACAATGCAGTCAGGCAAGTACCGTTCTCCTGTAAACTGCCAAACCCAGACACGTCCATTGGATTTCCAGACAGAGAAGCATGATTTGTCACTCCAGAGAACACATCTCCACTGCTCTAGAGTCCCATGGCGGCCTGCTTTACACTACTGCATCCAACACTATGCATTGCACTTAGTGATATAAGGCTTGGATGCAGCTGCTCGGCCATGGAAATCCATTTCATGAAGCTCTCTATGCACTGTTGTACTAATCTGAAGGCTACACAAAGTTTGGAGGTCATTAGCTATTGACTTTGCAGACAGTTGGAGACTTCTGCACACTTCGCACTTCAGCATGCGCTGACCCCACTCTGTCAATTTACGTGGCCTACCTCTTTGTGGCTGAGTTGCTGTTGTTCCCAGTTGTTTCCACATTGTTATAATACCACTGAAAGTTGACCATTGAATATTTAGTAGCAACGAAATTTCACAAATGAACTTATTGCACAGGTGGCAACCTATCAATCTACCACGCTTGAATTCACTGAGCTCCTGAGAAAGATCCATTCTTTCACAAATGTTTGTAGAAGCAGTCTGCATGCCTAGGTGCTTGATTATTTATACCTATGACCAAGGAGGTAATCGGAACACCTGATTCCAATGATTTGGAGGGGTGTCCCAATACTTTTGGCAATAGTGTGTGTGTGCTTATATATATATATTTATATATAAATATATATATATATATACACACACACAGTTGTGCTAAAAAGTTTGTATACCCTGGCAAAAAAATAGAAATTTTGGCAATGATATTGAAAATATGACTGAACATGCAAAAAAATGCTCTTTTATGGAAGGATGATGATCATATGAAGTAATTTCTTATCAAATAGTTGTTTGGCTCCTTTTAAATCATAATGATGACAGAAATTACCCAAATGGCCATGATCAAAAGTTAGGTTAAAATGCCAATTAGAGGTTAATGTCCCACATTTGAGGCTCTTTAAATTACAGTTAATGTCAGTGTATAAATAGTCAATGAGTTTGTTAGCTCTTATGTGGAAGCACTGTCTAGGCTAGATACTGAGCCATGGGGATCAGAAAAGAACTGTCAAAAGTCCTGCGTAACAAGGTAATGGAACTTTATAAAGATGGAAAAGGACATAAAAAGATGTCCAAAGCCTCTATTTGTTATTTATGGTTAATTGGTTTCATTTTTAAAGAGGCAATGGCTTTTTGAATTGTTCACTACTGTTTGCATTATTATTTACTTATTTCTTGGATTATTAGATTATTAGTATTATATCTATTGGTGTGAGTAGCGTCTTTTACAATTAGGTTTTTTTATTGGCAGTTGCCGTAGCGTACTGATTGCAGCAATAATGAGGAAATAGATGAAGAAGAGATCTATGACCATACCTTACCCATAGAGCAGAGAAGGATTGTGAAAGAGAGGCACAATCCTAGTGAGGCAGGATGTATTCAACTGCAGCTTACAGGGAAGTTGAGGGACCAGCCACCCTGTTACACCAGACAACAGAGCTCCAGGGGTGCAGTTCATCGTTGTCCCCTTTGTTCACTCCCTAATGCTTACCTGTGTGGGCTTTTTTCAGCACGTGTGCTGAAGACCTCACTGGTGTTATTTACAGTCTTTGCCTCCAGCATATTACATGCATCAATACCATTAGCAATGTATATGAATAAATACATTTATTTACATCAGAAAGCAGTTCCTTCTGAACAGCACCAGAATGCTAGTCACCAGGAAAAGAACGGAGCTCCTCCATGTCCTTCCAGCTTCTCTCTTTCCACTTCTACCCCACTATACAAAAGTCTCTCCCAGCAGCCTACAGCAATAGGGATGATGGTATATCATGGGGTGTCAGAGGTCTACCCTATAGAACAAGGTCTGCATTGAGCTTCACAGAGTAGGGGCTGTGACCTTGCTCTGATTCTACCAACGCCATCAGGTGTACCATTAAGCAAGCAAGTTTCAAAGTTTCACTGACCAAGCTGGTAGAGAAAAAATACAACCAGCCACCCACATGCCTTTTGCCTAAATGCCAGATTGGCCAAATTGCTGGCTTTACAACTCTTGCCTTTCCAGCTGGTGGATTCTGCCTCTTATCAGAAATTTGAAGCCTGTGCTATACCATAATCATAGGTTCCCAGCCACCATTTCTTCACCCATAAGGTCATCCATGCCCTTCCGCATCACATAGAAGGCAAACCTTCCACATCACTGGACAGTGTGGTAAGCAGCAAGGTCCAGATGACCACAGACATGTGGTACGGCAAGTATGGACAGGGGCGATATATATCATTGATGGCCCACTGGATGACTCTGCTGACATCTGGTAAGATGCAACATAGGACACACTGCTAGAGCTTTTTAGACACTTTACATTCTTACAGCTGGTGATGACAGTTCTAGAGCTGTCCCCTCCTCCTCCTGCTGAATCATACTGATTAACCAGTCTCCCTTAACCTAAGGATGGGGATATATCTGTATGTTGGCGATTCCTTACAATGTAAAAGTGATCCAAGCAGCTATACAGCTGCTCTTACTGGCTTTTAAAGCAGCCTGTCAAATGAAACATGGTTTAACTGGCTGCTTTGTAGTGCAAAGGAGAGATCTGAGGTCTAATAGACCCCAGATTTCTCCATAAAGAGGCCCATGCTATTACAAGGATGTTGTTAATTTCTTGTGATAGCAAAAAAGTTAAATCGAAAAAAATTCATCATCGACAGGGCATGCAAGGCAGAGCAAGAGGAAAGAGATGAGGATCCACCCAATCCAGACACCATCTCTCTGAGGTCATGGCAGACACAAAAGGGGGAGGTGAGAAATATAATTGCTGTAGGGGCATTGAGACTGAAGATGACATTGGTCATTGGGTGGGTTTCATGCCTCCCAAACCCTGTGAATAGTACAAAGTTTGGGAGAAATATAATGAAATAAGCTGACTCTGTCTCCAAATTTGTCACAATTAAAAAAGATGACATTCTCTGTCTGTGCTGACTAAGGATTTTCATGTTTCTATTTTCTGCGTGGAAAAAAATAATTATTATTAAATTATTATTACATTGTAATCTGCGTGCTCTCTCTCAAATAGTGCAGTCTGAAAAGGTTTAAAAAGTAGTGCATGAAATCTGTAAAATGTGCCCGTCCTTGCTATATGAAAAAGGAAGACCATTTGTTGGGCAAATTGAAATGTAGTTGCTGTCTTCCTTCCTCTGTAGCTAAACTGTATGCTTTTTTCATTGTTGGTGTGCAAAAAACACACACTGGCTGTTCGTCTTGATTCTAAGTGCCTGCTAAATCTCCCCCTTTAATTGTGGCCTGCTCAAAACCTCTTTCTAGCTGTGGTGCAAACCTGTATGCTATTTCCATCATCAGTATGCAAAAACACACTATATACTTTTAATAATGTTAAATACCTGTTCAATAGCTCATACATTGTAGCCTATCCATACAGGCTCAGTAAGTGTACTGCAAAACTGTCAAATTATATCCATCTTTAGTCTTCAAAAGAAGACACAAATTTTTAGATTTCAAGGTACAATTTGATTTTCCTCTCTTCTTCCAAAAAGTGCAGCCAATCCAATAAAGGCATCCTTCACAACTCTTTCATTTTTTGAAGTTCTTCAAACTTAAAAGAAAAAAATCTTTTTCTCTTCCATATGTCACCTGCCTGCTCTCTCTCTAGAAATGAATAGCAAAACAACTGAACAGCAAAAGGGCTTCAGGAAATCTGTATCATATTTTTACAATTGTTTTAGGTCTACAGCCTGAGAAAAAAAGTCAGTGTTCCCCCAAGCCCTTCCTTTGTCAGACTTTTAGCTTTTGGATCCAAATTTCAAAAACATTGTCCTAACCAAACCATGATTGGTTTATTATTACTGTTTGACAGAAATATTAAATGCATTGTGCATTTACAATTTAAAAAAAAAAAAAAAAAAACAGGAAAGAAAGAAAGAAAAGAAAAAAAAAACACAATTTTTGTTAACTTTTTTTTTTTAATTCTTGCTCATAATTTTGTCATCCACTGCATGCCCTTTTTACGATACCTTGGGATACAATTTGCTGCTCTTAATATTTTGATAAACTCTGATCCGTAACATTTCCACATTAATGTGTGCTGCCTTCTGCATAGTAGGGCAATTATTGGGAACAAAAAACGGCTTTCAGTTCTTTAATCCTTCATTAGTTTGTTCACTGAGGGATGTAAATTGACTGTGCACCTGTTTATAACCATCACTCTTGTTTATTATCAGTGTTCTAAAGATACACATTTCTCATTGAAATAGTGCATAGAGTAGAGAATAAGTCAGGCTTTAACTGCATTGTGTTTTCATCACCTTGTAAGAAATAGGGTGATTAACTCCAAAAAGAGAGATGATTTTCATTAGGCTTTCACAGTTATAGCAAATGAATAAGGGTAAACCCTGCATGAAGATTAAGAGTGCTCAATCTCATCCTCTACATAGGGAAAAAAGGAAACTTTATATTCATGTATTCATAGAATCCCCTAGAAGCTAGAGGATCTTTGGGAACTAAACATTTCTATTTTCATCTTCAAGTGTTTTATTTGTTGCCTTATTTGTTGCCGTACTTTCTATTACTTTAAAGGATGAGCAAAGGAAGAGGTCTATTAATATTACAGAATGTATAGACAGTAGACAGCTAACTATGAATCTTATTTGGATAGCTGAACTTTATGAGAGCTGTTTTCAGCAGCTGCTATTTCTTAGGGTTGTCTTTTGCGTTTTTCTTTTCCTGTGAATGGATAATTTTGTATTTAAAGAGTCAACAATTAGCACAAGCTGTTTTCTTACAGCATGCCAAGTTGTTATCTTTGAAAGCGCACGCTAAGCTAAATTCTATTGATAAACTGAATTTATATATAGAGCCATGCTTCCCAAACTGATTATCAAGGACCACTAGGAGCTAATTTTTTTTCTAGATGCCAAAGCTTTCAGGGATGGGAGCAAGGAAGCAGCAATACTTTGTGTGTACACTGCTTTCCTAGGTCCTTCCAATTTACATGAAGGCAGTGCTAGGGAGTCTCCACAGAACAATGTCTGTTCTTAATACTACAAGGGAAGTTAAAAAAAAAAAAATAATAATAATATATATTATATATATATATACACACATTTAAATATAGATACATTACAAAGAGAATGTTTTTTTTTTCAGCAGATCGTAGGTAAAATACTGTATATCTTTTAAAATATCACTAGTTAACACATTCATGATGCTGTCTGGTGGTGGGGGACTCATGATATGCTATTGATCTCTGGTGAGTAGAGAAGGGAAAGTCTAATGTAGATAAATAAAATGTTTTCTTTAAGACAATTCCAGTGTGGTCAATAGCTAACTGAAATTCTGGAAGACCATTTAGGCTAGGATTTTATTTGTGACAGTTTGAAGGTGGAACAAGGATAGGCTATAAGTTGACAGAAGGCGTAGCTACCAATAGGGCAGAAGGGTTGATTGTAATTTTTATAAACTTCATACGTCATGGCCTAGGGCACCTGAGTTTGACACTCCATCCATGCACATTATCAGATAAATATGTCTATTATTATAATTGAAACATGATTCAGTTATGCA